TTGGTTACAACCCATAGCAACCCCGTGTAGAGTTTCCGAGGAGCAACTGGTAAGTTTGAAAGGCTGACCTTGAGGTTTAAACTGACTTTGCAATCCAGTGCATTAACACACAGCACCACACCAGAACTCCAATAGATGTTAAATAAATATCTGTTGCATGAAGGAATAAATGGATTGGTGGGAGGATGAATGGATGGCTAAAGTGTTCGTGTCCTTTCACCTATGTGAGTCAACTGCAGTATGGAAACTGTGATTTCAGAACACCAGCTTCAAGCTGACCTTATGAGGGAATACAGTCTCATGGAAGAGATGTTTAAAGAAGGGAGGAAAATCAAGAAAAAAGGATTCACTTTATAACAAGCGTCTTCTACCAAGGAATCTGTGGACTGTTAATGCTATTTCAAAGGATCTTGAGGAAGTTTTGTTCTATCTAGTAACCAGATGGTCAATGTTGCAATAGTGTCAACAGATGGAGTGAGCAGTTGGGGAAACTGCCAAAACATTTACGACCAAGTGAATTTGAACCCATGTGGAGATGCCTCCGGGGCGGCCTTCCAGCAATAAATCCAGAAGGCCCCATGACATAGCCTGGGTCACTGGTTTCTACCTGGAGTCACTGAACCTTCAGTAGCAGGTCTTGAAGATATTAATGGGGATGGAGGAAGGTTTATAGACTTCTTTATGTTTAATATAAACCATATTTACCAAAACTATATCTTTGTTGTTAGTTGCTGTTAAGTTGGTTCCGACTCATAGTGACTCTATGCACAACAGAACGAAATACTGACTGATCCTGTGCCTTCCTCACAATTGTTGTTACACTTGAGTCTATTGCTGCTGCCACTGTGTTTATTGTTTGATGATCATAATAAATTATTTTGATTACTAATCCTGGATATAGGAATTTATTAAAATGTCATATGCTTGGTAGCCAGAATCTATAAAAATGTGTAACTTACAAGAAAGGAAATGGATCTAGGGCAATTAAATCATAGGCTGTTGGGCTTTACATCTGTGTGGTTTTTGAAATCCTTTAGTTCCTTCCTAATGGAATTTGAGTGACTAATTGGTATTCAAGGCTTTCTACAATCTCACCTCAGTACTCTTCAAGTTACATTTTGTAGTCCAATCCACTGGTCTGCCCACTATCCCAACAATATACTTTCTGCATTCTCACCTCTGTGTATCCTAGGTTCCAGAACTATCCCTTTAGTCTAGAACACGTTCCTGTTGTATGTATCTAACATTATTTTTTCTACTCATCTTCTTTTAAAGCAAATATTTCTCTAAAAGAATGCATTGACTACCACCAAATGCTTTTTAGTGCTTTATTTTCTTTAGTGACTTCTCATTTTGTTTGAAATCCAATCCAAAGTCCTAAAAAATGTTACATTCAGTCCTCAATTCTTACCAGTCTCCCTTGCTCTCTTTGTTTCAGCCACACTGGTCTCATTTTGATTTCTCACATACACCTAGTACACTCCCACTTCAGACCCTTCACACTCTTCTCTTTATTATGAAACCCTGGTGACACAATAGATAAGCACTCAGCTGCTAACCAAAAAGTTTGAACCGACCAGCTGATCTGTGGGAGAAAAGACATGGTGATCTGGTCCCATAAAGATTACAGCCTAGGAAACCCTCCAGGCAGTTCTAGTCTGTTCCATAAGGTTATTAGTTGGAATCGACTTGATAGCACCTAGCTACATACAACATCCTCTTTACTTACAATGTTTTGCTCAAAGAGAAGAGCTGCATGGCTTAACTCCCTCATTACCTTCATACTTCTTTTCAAATGCCCTCTTATTCAGGAGGCCTATCCTTGTGGGTGAGCACTGAATCACAAGGTTGGCTTGAACTGCAAGGTTGGTGGTTCAAACCCAGCAGTTGCTCATTGGAAATCCTATACAGAGTCACTATGAGTTCAAACTGACTCAACAGCACTTAACAACAACATCCTGACCATCCAATATAAATAGCACCTTTCACCCTACATACTGTTGTTAGTCAACAGCGTCCATCAATCCATCCATCCATCCATCCATTATTTCTCCTTACTGGAATATTGGGCTAGTGGGGGCGGGGTCTCCCTAATATCTACACCTCAAAACCAAATTCACTGCCATCAAGTAAATTTTGACTCATAGCAATCCTGCATAGTGTTTCTGAGGCTGTAAATCTTTTACCACCAGGGTTCCTTAGTACCAAGAACAATGAGCATGAATTGCTTGCTAGGCAATACCTAGAATAATACCTGGCTATAATAGGTGCTAAATAAATATTTGTTGAATGAGCAATTTCTCCTAGACTAAGAATTTTCTGGACTGTAGAGTTCACTTAATGCAATTTCAGATGTCATTTGCAAATGTATGGACTGTGCTCAAATATACTAGGTTAAAATAGAAAGTTAAAAAAAATATATATATATTGCTATGGTCACAATTAAGGAGCTCTGGTAGCATAGTGGTTATGAATCAGGATGCGAACCTCAGGGTCAGCAGTTCAAAACTACCAGCTGTTCCGTGGGAGAAAGATGAGTTGGAACCGACTCCACGGCACACAACAACAACAACAAATGGTCACAATTGGCCCTGAAAGCTATGATTTATTTACTTAAAATGTTTGTAGATCATTAACTATTGCCAGGCACTAATAAACACAAAAGTGTCTCTGGGTGGAACAAGCAGTTTAGGATTGACAGCAGTTCATGGAAGAAAAGCCTGATAATCTATTTCCAGTAAATTTAGAGCCAAGGAAGCTTATGGAGCAGTTAGTTCTACTTTGTACTATTGTTGTTGTTGTAAAGTGCCGTCGCGTACTAATTAAGTCAGTATAATCCAATAGAATACAATCAACTAATGTTTTTGTTCAGTTGGTACTTTCCATTAATTAGTTAAATTTTCTTCTAATTAAAACTCAATCACCAGGATAAGACCTACGTAATGATTTCTGCATTAAAATTTAAACAAGTAGTACCAGAAATTTGTAGTAATGTTAATTTTAAAGAGCTTCAAAGAGCCTTATTTCTGGGCATAATAATGTTGGAGGACACTTGTGAATGTCTCTTAGAGATGAGACCAATTTCTAGTTTAATTCAGTTGTTTAAATGTATAATTGTTGATAAATTATTGTTGTCAGGGTACAGAAATACTGACAGAACTATAATTAGTTACTGCAGGAAAAACATTTTTTTATAAGAATGTTTCGTTAGCTTTGATCTTCTATCCTTTTAATAATACCCTTCAAGTTAAATGTATTACTGAGAAGCAGCAGAACATCCTGAACAATGATGATGGATTTTGGTCTCTGAGTTTGAATTTCAGTTCAATCACTGACTTTGTATTCTAATCAAGTAACTGTATCTTTTTGCACCACCTTATAACCCATATCTATAGAATACCAAGGCCCAGGTGAGAATTTAAGACTATGAAGGCAGCATACTGTCTCCTGGTTTAGCCAGTTGGCTTTGTTTGTTGGCAACAGTCTTGATGGACTATGCCTCTGAGAAGAAAGCTACAAATAACAAAACAAGCTGATAATTTTCTATTAAAGTAACTTCCTAGACATATCTGGGCTGCTGTCTCAGTTTTTGTCTCTTTAACTTTATATCTATAACAATTGGTAAAATACAATAAATGTACATACATAAAAATCATTAGACATTTGGAGAACCTCACTGTTTAATAAAAATGGAAATTGTGATCAGTGTGCTGTATATACTAGGGAGATTTTTCAACAACAATGGTTAAAAAAGAAAACTTTAATCTGAGTACTTCTGATCTTTCAGCTGTGTGATTTGAGGTTATATATGAACACACACAAATTTGTGTTTGTCTTGCACTCTCTGTTAGAGAATTCAGACTTCAGGATAAAGACTATTGTCATTCTTTTTGGTACTACCTAACATATAGGGTTTTATGTGTTGGTTGATATTAGATAATTCCCTCATTAAAAAAAATGATTATAGATGAAAAGTTTCCATTGAAATCATAAATAAAACTCTACCTGAAGACTATTCTTAGTGACCACAGAGTTTAAAAAGTTAGTGGTAGATATAACTTGTGACAAACTACCTAAAATAATTCTAGCTTTAGATAATCAAGAGTATCTTCTTCTTGTTAAGTGCTGTTGAATCAGTTCTGACTCACAGTGAGCCTGCATAGGGTTTCCAAGGAGTGTTTGGTGGGTTTGAACCACACACCTAGTGGTTAACAGTTTAGTGTTTATCCTACAGCACCATATCAGGACTCTAAGAGCATCTTAATGGAAGTGAACTCCTATAACCACTTGGCTGGTAGACACTGTAGCTATAGATATAATTTTCACCTCTTTGCAGAGCGTCCCTGTGGTGTCTGAGGGCCTCAGATTTTTTTAGTGTCCATTAGCTGTCTAACTGTGGACATTTCAGTATTTGACAAGATGAACTTTTAAAAATATAAACAAGAACATTGACATAAAATAATATAACCCCATCAGGGTTTAGAATTGAATAGAAGAAGAAACTCAAAGATCCCAAAGAGGGACCTTGTCTTGGAAGCACCAATTTCAAGGGCAGGCAGTGAGGCCTGGGAAGATAAGGAGGAAGTTCATGGCCCTTATACTGGGGGCAGGAAAGTTCTTAGAAGGGTGACCTGGCACTTTATAGTTCTAACAAAAACCATACCCGTGCAAACTTGGGCATGCCACATGACCCACGTTGGACTAGGGTTAGGGATGGTTTTATAATAAGGATACCCAAGATAAGGGCAAAAGGCATTATGATATTGAAGTTCTTTTAGCTTCTAAGATCACTTGTTAGAGCTAGATTAAAAGCAGAACTTACTACAAATGAGACAATTTTACCTCAACTAGCCTGGCTTGATGTCTACTGAAGACCTACTATGCGTGTTGGGACAGTGTAGGTTCCCAATGTTGTTGTTCCCTGAGATGTGTGTTCCTCAAGAAGTGTATGTGTGTGTGTAGAGAAGTCGGAGAATGTAAAAACATATGGAAAAAGTTACCTTTCTTCTTTCCTCTGCAGCCTCCAGTTTTTTCTGGATTTCCTCCAGGGACAGATCTTTCTTCTTTGGAGAAGCTAAAGTTCGAGGGGCTTCTGAGATAGGAGATGGAGGCTTTAAGATCAGCTCAAAAGCCTGGCCAGAGGCACGTTTATTGATTTGTTTCACTTCCATATCTGAAAAATGAATATTTGAGAATATTAAACACACAAAGCATGAAGCATATTTATTTTAATCATTTCAATTCTGGCATTTGAATGTATAACACTCCTCTTTAGTATAATTATGGATATATTTTAACAGAATAAATATTTACAGTGTTGGAAAATTCAGTAGTATTTATTGAGTAAGAGGCATACTTAGAAAAATAGTCTAAGTTGATGTGAAACTAAATTTATTTGTCTTTGGCATAAATATGAGTATCACATGGAAATCAAATAGCACAGATTTGTTTTTGGAAATTACCATAACTGGAGGGATTTTCATGCTGAACTATGAGAAATGTAACAGAGTTCTGCAGTTTTCAAATATGATCCTGTGGTTGGAAATCACAGGAGATATACGAGAACCAACCTAACTCTCTGAACAATTGCTTTTATTTGCCAAAGTCAAGGGAGACTTGCAAAGTAACCCACTGGTTCCCATTTTACTCTTCAGTGAATTGTTTTGATTTGTGTGAGGAAGTGTATACAGTGTACACTCTGGGGAGAATGGTGTGATGAGACACCCTGTCTTCAAGATGCTTGTAGTAGAATGGTAAAAAGACTAAGACTTCATCTTTAGGATTTTTGACCATATTTTGTAATGTCCATGTTCCTATGACATTGTTACTTAGAATATCCTTCACCAGCATAATCCAACAGTAGACAGGTGCTATGGAAAAGGCGGCATTGTGGTAAAGGAAAGAAGGAGCCATATCACTTATCTAATTTATACATCATATACATGTTTGTTGTTGTTGTTGTTGTTGTTGAGTGCCATCGAGTCGGGTCCGACCCATAGCGACCCTGTACAGGGTTTCCGAGGGTGTAAATCTTTACGGGAGTAGAAAGCTTCATCTTTCTCCCGCGGAGCGGCTGGTAGTTTCGAACCGCTGACCTTAAGGTTCGCAGTCCGATTCGTAACCACTACGCTACCAGAGCTAATCCAAGAACTGAAGAATGGTTAGCCATTCTAGTTTTTTCTCATCGGTGACTAAGGTGGCAAAAACAAGCAGCTATCAGACTCTCAGATTTTAACTCTGCATAGTATTACTTACAGTGGAAAATTACTACAATTTATAACGCAAAATAAAGTGATAATCACTTACCACCTGCTTGAACATTTATAGTTTCAGAAGTTGATCATTACAATTTAGTAATGATTTTCTTTTTAATTCACTGGACAAGCCTCATTTTTAGATGAGTGCTCTATAATTTGAGCCCTAAACATTATCCCTTAACTGCAGCCTAATTTTGCCTCTAAAATACCAACGCTTAGACCATTCTCTATTTTGCATCACCATCTTTCAGGTATTTGAAACTCATTATCATATTCTTTTCCATTTTCTTCCCAGGGCTGAACTCCTCAGTTCCACAGAATAACACTGTTCCTTGGTCTTTGCTGCACTGATAACTAACCTCAGTGTTCTAGAATTAATGTTCGTTTAACACTGTGGCAACTAGACAGGCAACCAGTGTTCTGGAATTAATGTTCCTTTTACATTGTGGCAACCATAACGAGAGTTCTGACGAGCGCAAAGTAGAGAAGAAAATCTTCTCTGGCTATATTAAGCTTTCATTAATACTTTTTAGCAACCTAATTAGTGCACACTGATGTGTTACGGTCAAGTGAAACCCCAGCTTTACATAACCTTAAATGACAGTACAGACTAATAGACAGTGGGCACATAACAAATCCATATATACAAGGATAATTTAACAAGTATTGCTGCAAAATCATAGAAACCTTTATTAAATAAAACCATCAAACATAAAACTATTATTTCATGACATATCCTCCATAGCGGTCTATACATTACTGAAGGCAGTGCTTCCATCTCTTTAACTCTTCCCCCAAAGAACTCTGAATACTACAATTTACACCAGATCAAAATAAGAGTTTTGGTATCCTTGAGGAACTCAGTTTGTGTTATTTTTCAATGGTCTCTGAGTACTGGGAACAAAAAGAAGTTTGAAGGGGCAAAATCAGGGCTATAGGATGGATGGGGTAAGGCTTCCCAACAAAATTCTCATAGGGCAAACTCTGCTACCCTTGAAAACTGAGCAGGTGCTTTGTCTTGATAGGAAAAAAAAAAAAAAATCTTCAGAGGAATTTTCCTGGCTTTTTTCCTCACCATGGAGTTTTCAATGTTCTTAAAACTTTATAATAAGCTCTTGTGATTACCCTGTGTCTTGTGTTCTTTGAGAAAATCAATGAAGATATCCCTTTGGGATTCCAAACAGGTCACCATAACATGCTGAGCAGATCTCTCAGCTTTGAATTTATTGGGCCAGCAGATACTCATGGAAGTCATTGTTTTGACTGGATCTTTATTTGAAGGCACCCTAATGAGACTATGACAAATGTATAAATGAGTGAACTTGCAGCCAACTATTGATCATTGACACATGTGTAAACACATTTTGTTAGGAATAAACTAGGCATGTATTAACTTGACCCCTATTAGCAATACTTTTTGACTGTCCTTTGTATCTGAGATACATTATATAAATGAAATTGTCATCTTAGCCCACTTCCTGTTCCCTGACAAAATATATGTATCCTTCAAATGAGAGTGCATAACTTTATGTACACCAAGTTTGCTTTAAGAAGGGACCCAGGAACTAGGTTTGGTTCCACATTTTCAGACTTACTTATTCTCTAAGAAACAAGAATGTTGGTTAATTATGTTGTCAGCTATCCTTGACGTTGTGTGTGTTCACTCACTGCAAATAACTTATATCTTTTTATTTGAATGTATTTTAAAGCAGTAGATAGAACAAAAGAGAATGAGAAACATAGATCAAATGGACCACTTTATGCATTCAGAAAGAAGAGCCAGCCACTATCACAAAGTATAAAAATCGATAATTTGGAAGTTGCTGTATTTAGCCTAGTGAATAAATAAAGGATAAACATTGTGCAACCACTACCAAAAAGTGTGTTGTAAATGCATCAGAAATCAACAGTGACATTTTATTTGCTAATGAATATCGATAAAATAAGTTTGATGATGGAGCCTCAAAAAAAAAAAAAAAAAAGATGTTTTACAAAAATGTAAAAAAAAACAGTGTTAAATTTGTCTGGAAGGCATCCAAGGTTATATCTGTATTTTGAATACAACTATAAAAATTATTATGTAAGCATGCGAGAATGATTACAAGAGAACATGGGCAAATAAAAATAGCTTATTCGAGAAACTGGTGGGGTTTTAAATGGCTTAGGTTATAGACTCTGGAATGAGAAATACCTGTGTGTGCATGCAAATAATAAGCCCCTTTTCCTAGCTTTGTGGCATTTGGAAAATGAACTTTTTTAAGCTTCCATTTCCTCATTTAAAAGACGGAGATAAAAAGAGCACCTTCCTCATAAGATAGTTTTGAAGATTAAAAGACAAAATCTACAGAATGTAACACACAAGTTGTAGCATTTAATGAGTGTTTATAAATGAGACTGTTAGTATAACTATTATTAATTCTTATTGTATTGTTTTTCGCATTTAATGAGTGTTTATAAATGGGACTGTTAGTATAACTATTATTAATTCTTGTTGTATTGTTTTATCTGTAGTTAACATTTCAGATCATCATCTAATATAGAGAAACAAGGCAAGGTTAAAGACTTTGGAAATTTCAAATTCTCTACCAGCTCTTTTCAGAGCCATACATGAGCAATGTGAAGGTCTATTCAATGTCTAAGACTCAGCTAAGGCATAACCTCTGGGTTTTCTTCCCTTCCTCTCTCTTCCCAATCTCTGTCATACTGGTATCAGGGGGCTTAAAACAGTTCCTAGAGAAATGCATTGAAAAAACAATGGATTTTTTTTTCATGAACTTTTGAAACCCCCTTCATATATTCAATATAAACCTCTTAGAACATAATCACATTGTGTTATAATTATTGATCATTTGTATTTTCTAAGCATCTTCTACTAGGTTCTGAGTTCTTTGATGGTGAAGATGATGTCTTATTCATCAATTGCCAACACATAGAGTCTCATAGGAAATGTAGCTGCATTATTACTTGCAACTGCATCTAACAAATTAATACGGATCTCTCTAGTATTTTTGAGGGCTGAATGAATTTATACAAAGTAGGTATTGAGCCTAAGTTTTTATTGAAGCCTTCTAATGTTTTAGTTTGAAACAGAATCCTTTTACATGGAGGGTGTTGCCTGATGAAATGGCTAATTCACACTTACGATACTTACGCCATGAGAGATAACTTTGTAAGGACCAAGCATTTGAATCTTGGTTAAAGATACAGTAAAAGTGAATTGCCATAGGGTCCTTTCACCTTAAAGTATTTCTTTGTTGTTGTTGTTGTTAAGTGCTGTTGAGTCGATTCTGACCCATAGCGACCCTGTACAGGGTTTCCAAGGCTGTATATCTTTATGGGAGCAGAAAGTCTCATCTTTCTCCCACAGAACAGCTGGTAGTTTCGAACTACTGACCTTAAGGTTTGCAGTCCAATTTGTAACCACTACGCTACCAGAGCTCATTAAAGTAGTTCTTTAGACACATGTAAAAGAACCAAACAGGTGGCAAACTGTGTCTCAGCTGTATCCACACATGTAACTACATCAAACATTTTAACTAAATTGACAATTATATGAGGATGATATTATTGATAATGATAACTACCTTTGTGAAGTACTTACAATGTTCCTGGCTCAGTGCTAAGCAACTGACATGAATTAATCATTTAAACATCACAACAAACATGTTAAGAAGATACTAGAGTTAATACTAGAGGCTCAGAGAATCTAAGTAAGTCGCCCTGTGGTCATGTGGATAGCGACAGAGCCAAAAAGCCAAACTAAGCATAATGAATCAGGAAGAATTAAAGGATTGGGCTTCAACAAAGTTAATTGCCATGCCAATATTTAGGCTTTTTTTAAAACTTTTATCTGGGGCCTCAACCTTAAGTCAATCTTATTAAAAGCAGTTATTAGCTTGCTGACATGCATACACAAGATCTGGGTACTTTATAATGGCTACAATAAAGCAAGAAACAATGCTGCTAGCTGTTGGTTTCTTTCTCAAATTTTTCTAATGATAATGCTTTTTCTTTCAAATTATGATCTATTCAAATGACTATTTGCCATATATATATATATATACACCATTTTACATTATTTGTAAAGAAAAGGCCAAGGCATAGTATTGATTTTATGATGCTGGATGTGGCTGCTAATAACAATCCAGTCCTGTCTTAAGAGAGACTAATGTGTTGTTATTAGGACTCAATCCTAACTGTCTGAGCAATATAGGCTAATCAGGACCTCCTAACAGCAAGTCAACAGTGAAATCTACAAACTATTGACTTAATGATATGAGGAGCTATGAGAGAGAAACAAGCATATCCAAGTTTTTCCAAATGATCCAACCTGTGAAGGCGCTTCTATGGTGGGCAACTTACCATCATAAGTGTAGATGTTGATGTTGCGAGGTTCCGGGTAAAAGCACGAGCAGATCAGTGACAGCATGGACAGCTCCTTCATTTTTTCCTTGTAGGCTGAAATAAAAGACTGGAGATGAATATCTTTCCTTTTTTGAATTTCCCCTGAAAGTTTTTAAATCTGAATAAGAATTACAGCTTCCAAAAGAATTAATTTTGCCAACTATACTGCTTCTTTGTTGTCTTTCACAAGAAAGTATTTGAAATCTGAGGTGCCTAGTCCTTATTTTGTTAGCAGCATAAAGATACCAAACCCATTGATACTGAGTCGATTCGGACTCATAGTGACCCTATAGGACAAAGTCCCATCGGGTTTCCAAGGCTGTGCATTTCACAAAAGCAGACTCACATCTTTCTCCAACAGGGTGGCTGGTGAGTTCCAACCACCAACCCTTTGGTTAGCAGTTGAACACTTAACCGTTATGCCACCAGGGCTACTTGAATAAAAATACAGAGGACATAAATTCCTTATTATGGTAGCTTAGATAAAATTTCTCTTCTACAGGTGAGAGAAAACGTGTTAGAGAAAGAAAGGAAGGTAGAAGAATCAAGATCCGGCAACAAAGAGGCAGAGAAAGGAGAAACATAAAGGAAGCAGAAACACAATTAGCAGGGAGATACACCATTGAGTAACACACAATCACGACAACCTGATATGTATCAGAAGAGAACTGTGCTCCATAGGGCTTTCTTTTATTTTTTCCTTTAAAAATTTTTTTTTTACTGTGAATTAGGTGAAGGTTTACAGTGTGGATCAGTTTTCCATTTAAAAAACGAACACACATTTTGCTTCATCTCATTGATTGCAGCCCCTATGATATTTCATCGCTTATCCCACTTCCTCTTGTGTTTTGTTTCCATTCCTCCTTCTTCATAACTCTTCTGAATGTATCCTTGGGTAAATGTTTCCCTTTTGATCTCAAATGGTTGATTATTCTAAGGCATTCATAACTCACTAATGTTTTCATTCCTCTTACAGACTTGCCTATTGTTTGGCTAAAATTTGAGCCGGGAAGTGGGTTCATTTAATGGGTTCATTAAGGGTAACTGAAGGCTATACTCTCCGAGTTCTTCAAGTCTCCATCTGACCAGTAAGCTTGGTCTTTTTTTTTTATAATAATGATTTTGGGGTCCACATTTTTCTCCCACTCTATCTGGAACCTTCTAATGTGATCCCTTTCTGAGCAGTTGATAGTGGTAGCTGGACACCATCTAGTTCTTCTGGTCTCAGGGTTTTGGAGACTGATGTTCATTAGCCCATTAGTTCATTGGACTAATTGTTTCTTTTTATCTTTATTTTCTTCACTCTTCTTTCCTCCAGACAGAGAAACACCAATAGTTGCTCCTTACATGTCCAATCACCAACTTTTAAGACCCCAGTTGCTACTTACTACAGTTGGATATAAAACACTGTGGACTTTGTTATGTCAGTGGACCTGAGTGTCCCCAGAGACGAGCTCCAAATAATTTTCAATGGCTGGGTTTTCAGATGTAGACTGCCAGGCTTTTCTTCTGAAGAGTCTCTGGGGGGATTCAAACCTCCAACCTTTCAGTTAGCAGCCAAGTACATTAATTGCACCACTCAGTACTCCAGCAGGAAGATAGACTCATTCTAGTAAGCGTGAATGCAGGTCTATAGTATACCTAAGAGTCAGTAGGTTTTCCTTTGCTGATTCAGTCTGAATTGCCATATGCCTATTTGGAACTCACCAGAATAAATAGTAAGCAGACAAATCCTCCAGAGTCCTTCTTTGCAGCATTTTATTTATTCCCAAGTGCATTTTGTTATCTCCCTCTCTCTGTCTGACAATAATCCCCAAACTAATTTAGAACCACAGAACATTCTATTTGGAAAGGTCTAAGAGATTATCCAGTCAACTGACCTCAATTTTACAAATGAGGAAACTGAGTCCCAGATAGGTCAAAGTCATATCTAGGCAGTGACAAAGCTGGGATCTCTGGATAAAATGCAATAAACCAGTTTTTTTGAATACTGTCAAAAAGACCGTTGTTTACTTACGTTTACTTTCAAGATAAAATTCAGTGTGTTAACAGGGCTGGACATGTTAGTATATGTTTGAAAAATATGCAAAATCAGATGTTGGCATTGGCATGTGTATCAACCAAATACTTCCATAAATCAGAAATATCCAAGGCCACTGACATTGGGTCTCATGATGACCCCACGTGCCATGAACTGCAGAGAAGTGTCTTCATAGGGTTTTCAATGGCTGTAATCCTGCAGCACTAGATTGCCAGGACTTTTTCTGCAGCACCACTTGGTGGATTTGAACTGCAATGTTGTTGTTAAGTGCCATTAAGTTGGTTCTGACTCATAGTGACTGTTTATAGGGCTTCCCAGGAGAGCCTCGCAGTTAGCAGTCCAGGGCTTATTCTACAGTGCCATACCAGGACTCCTCGTACCTGTTGTTGTTAAGTGCCGTTGAGTACCGCTAGGAGAAGATTTCTCCCTATTTAGTTTATTTTCTTTTTTCCTGGCCCCAGAATAGTTCTATCAACATCTATTCTGAGAGATTTTACTGAATGCCTTTGGAATTTTAGAAGGCTGAAACCATATATATCTTGTTTGTTTATTCAGTAAATTAAATTACATCACTTTTGGATGTGTGGCACTGTGGGTTCATGCGCTGGACTGCAAGGTCCGTTTGAACCACAAGGTCAGCGGTTTGAGTTCACCAGCTTCTCCTCGGAAACCCTATAGAGGATCGCTATGGGTCGGAACCAACTCAACAGTGCTTAACAACAACAACAACAACAACTATAAAGGTCCAACTTTACAAGACTGTTTAGTGTAAATCACAATTTCTGTAAGAGGATAAAAACATCTGGTGGTTTAATACATTAATTCCCGGAACTGACTGAAAACAATAACAGCTTGGTTTCATAGTCTGTTGATAGTCTCTCCCACGGTGTGGAAGACCTGGGTTTAATTCCTAGCACCTTATGCGCAGACACTGCCTGTTGTTTCTCAGTGGAGACACATGTTATGTTGCTATAATGCTCAACAGTTTTCAGCTGCGCTTCCAGGTTAAGCCAGACTAGGGGAAAAAAGAAAAAAAAAAGTCTGACGATCTACCTCTATAAATCAGCCAATAAAAACCCTATGACTCACAAGGGGCTGTTCTGTCATGCAGAGGGTTGTCATCCATTGGAGCGGACTCAAAGGCAGCTAAGACAATAATTTTTTTTTCTTTTTGATAAGATAATGCAGTAGGTTATTCAGAACACATTGCACAGTTAAGCATACATTGGAAGCATGTATTAAAGCTACCAATTTTATTAGAGAGCCAAAAACAACTAATAAACAACCAAATTTATATAAACCCACAGTCACAGTATCAATTGCAACTCATAATGACCCTAGAGGGCAGACTAGAACTGCCCCATAGGGTTTCCAAGATTGTCATTTTTATAGAAACAGACTGACACATACTTCTGCAAAGCAGCTGGTGGGTTTGAACTAGCAGCCTTTTGGTTAGCAGCCACATGCTTAATCACTAAGCCACCAGGGCTCCTTTTATTAGAGAAGGCAAATAAAAAACAAATACATAAAGGAATCCCACCTTATAAAGTAATGATAGATTTAAGCAGTAGATGAGCATGAATTGTCATTGATGGACTCCTTTTCAACATCTGTCCTCAGTTTCTTGGACAAAAAATTCATTATTTCCTGCAAGCTAATGCAGAGTTGCCATGAGTCGGAATTGACTTAAGAAAAATGGGTTCATTTTGTTTGTTTCTTTTGATAAAGAGCCCAAGCCCAAGTGCCCTGCCATCAAGTACATCCTGATTCATAACAATCCTATTGTTGTTGTTAAGTGCCGTCGAGTCGATTCCGACCCATAGCAACCCTGTCTAGGCTTTCCAAGGAGCAGCTGGTGAGCTTGAACCACCAACATTGCGGTTCAAATGGCTTTGCAATTTGGCGCATTAACCCACAGCACCACATAGAACAGAATAGTGGAACCACTTGTGTGTTTGAACCACTGACTTTGTGGTTAGCAGCCCAGTGCTTAAAACAGTACCTCCCGGGAGGTATGACGATCAACAGGGACCATCATATCTAGAAACCTGTGTGTAACATATGCATAACCATAAACGATAAAAATGGACAAAAAAACTTAGCTGTTGCCTCCTGGAGGTGACCTGGGAACCATACCCAGGTGGCTCTGTGGGTAATTTCTTTAATTAGACTCTTTCTTTGCTTTTTTTCTTCATTGAGGACTATGACAAGGATATGGCTCCTTCTAGTAACACCAATGTGCTGGTTCACACTGATGTGGTTTCTGAATCCTAGGGAGCTCTTTAAAACCAGTTGCAATCACAATCAAATCTCCCCAAATTTGAGTACCAATTCAGGGTCTAGCTCCTCAGTGCTTCCTTCCTCTCTCAAAGTTGCCACAGTCTCTTACTGTTCTTAGTGGGCTGTTCTACATAGCCTTAGACTTGACTATGTACTGTCTGTTTGAGATGGAAGCAGGGAATTGGGGAGGGCAATGCTCCTTGGAAGAAAGCTTGGGCAACAGCACCAAGTAGAGAGGAAGCTCTTGTTCATATGAGAGTATGCCTAGACAGAAACCAACAGGTCTAGTCAAGATGTAGTCTAGTCCTAACCCTTATCCTAACTTCTTACTCCTACTGCCTCCTATCCTTCCCCAAATCCCCAACAACTGTTGAGTTGGTATATGTTTTGTTGTGCATATTCTCAACAACAAAATACACAAATAGAATGACCAAAAGGATAAAAACAGATTCCAAATAATGTGTCAAGTGGGGACATGGATGATATGTATTAGAAGTTCAAAAGAACCCCAGTTCCCTGACGTGAGGTAGAGGGAGTCAGGATTGGCTTCAAAGTTAAGGTTGTCAGATTTAACAAATAAAAATATATGACTTGCAGTTAAGTTTGAATCTAATATTATATAGGATGTGTTTACACTCAAATTTATACATTACATAATTGAAATTCAAATTTAATTGGATGCCTTGTATTTTATCTGGGAGTCAGAGCACATGGACTTGGATTGTAAAGACTG